AAACCTTCAGCGAACGGTACATCCTTTACTGTCTAATGTTCTGCCAGCGGGCAGCAACACAGAATTTTCTGCAGGCGCTCGTCAAGTAATCTCTTTCAGCGAGCGCTGGTCAAATTTTCAGCTGGGCTCGGACGGTTTTTAAGCAGTTTCGGGCGTACGCCGAGCAAAGGTGAGACTCTACTTAGACAATCGCCGGGGGCAGGCGGGCAGAAAAATAGATTGCTGATTTCTCGCACCCCGCTCGCGGATTTTTTGGAAAGCAATCAGGACTTTTCGGAAGACCGCTTGCTAAGTTCTCGATTGCTCAGAGATTCAGCAATATGTCTGCAAAAGATAAGAGCGAAAAAAATTCAACAGGCGGTCTCTCAAAAATTCGCTGACTCAGCAAGCGGTCTTCCGAAAAGTCCTGATTGCTTTGCAAAAAATCCGCGAGCGGGGTGCGAGAAATCAGCAATCTATTTTTCCGGTGCCCGCCTGCCCCCGGCGATTGTCTGAGTACATGGCAGAGGTGTCATCGTCGGTTTAATTACTCAATTTTGAGGTACTAAGAAAGGAAAGTACCTTAGGGCTGCGCGGTCCTCCACAAAGGACCGTGCGGCCCCCGAAAATTTTGCACATTCTCGCGGAAAGTCCGCCAAATGCGCCGCAGCTAATCTATAAGAAAACCGCGATTGTTCTCCAAGCACTCGTCTAAAATTTCACTAAACTTCTTCCAAATATCTGCAAGCGGACCGCAAGAAATCAGCAACCTATTTTTCCGGTGCCCGCCTGCCCATAAATCGCATGGCCGCCTGCCCCTGGCGATTATCTGGGTAGGGGCTGCGCGGTCCTTGACAAAGGACCGTGCGACCCCAACATTCTTGCATATTCCCGTGGGAAGTCCGCGGCAATGCGGCCACTGCGCTGCAACTAATCTGTGAAAATCTTTACACCTGCCCAGAATATGCCTAACATTCTTTCAGATATCTGCAGGCAGACCGCAAAACCAGGAACTATTTTATCGGTGCCCGCTTGCCCAAAAATCGCATGGCCGCCTCTCCCCTGCGATTATCTGAGAGGTTAGGCCTGGCGCTGGAGGCACTAGGTAAGACACTTACACTTACGAGTAGACCTAAGATGAAGGATAGACAAGATCATGGCTCACTGCGAGAGTATGAAATAGGTGATCTTCTTTTGATACAATACATACGCTCAATACATAGAGCGTATGTATTGTATCAAAAGAAGATTACCTATTTCATGCTATGTACTCTGTCAAAACCTTCACTTTAAGCAACATGGGAACGGAATCGCAATCAAAAAAGGAAAGCCATCAGGGGCTAAGTCCAGGATGTTAAGCTCATAACATCGGAGTGATGGCGGAACAATTATAGTGGGTAAATTCCAGCAAAAGCGAAAAACTGCATTTTGATAACTTTTTCGTGATGGGAAAAGGTTTTTGTGTAAATTCTAAAAGAATTAAGGGAACGGTCCTTATTTAACCTCTTTTTAATCTACAAATGAGTTTCCAATTCACGAACTATTGGAACTCAATGAAAATGAGAAACTGGGCTTAAATCTTGCGAGGAGAGTCACCTACGAAAATAGTGGTTTTTCCCGTTGAGAAAAGGTTTTTAACGTCGGCGACGTTGTCAGTGCTCCTAGTCGTCTTATGACGAACAGGATGATGAAATAATAGAGGAGATTATCAAATACTAAGTTGTGCAACAATAGCTTCTAGAGAAATTTGACATTACTTAGTTTTCAAATAACCGGTTTCGGGGCTAAGAACTAATGTTGCGAGGTTTCGATAAGAATTGCGGAGCCAGGATCAGTGCCCCCGTCGGCTCTGGTCTTCTCGTCTGAATCGAGCTGCCTCGTTACAGCAAAAACGAGGCACGGGGCATTTCGGCTCTGGTACCCTTTTCTATATTGTTCTGAACTCAAATTCAGCAATGTGTATCGTATTGCAGCACTTCTCGATAACGCTGACAACATCAACAATCATTTGTATTTTCTTCACTTCGATCATTTTAAGCTGTTTTTTAGCGCATTTGATAGGTTTTGCATCATTTTATATTTTGAGCAATATCGCCGAGCTTCTTCGATTGTGGCGGAATTTTTGTTGGAACTTCTAAAAGCGTTTTTCTTTCATAGTTCCTTTTGAGAGCCAGTGCGTAATCATTTTTGGGCTCAGGAATTTTTTGCTCAGAATGGTGAGCAGGACAATGCTGACAATCGTTTAAAGAAACGACAGAATTCAAAGCACGCATCGGAAACTGAATTGGTTTTGATGTGAATTTTGCTTTCAGTACATTTTGACGTTTTGTCTTCGACATTTTTTGTTCTATTTCTAATAGCAATGACTGACCACTTCCTGAATGTGATTGTTTTGAAACAAGTACGGTGTGTTGCATTAAGCTGATTTCTAATTTCCCTCATTCACCTCGAGTTGAGAACCGGCAGGTCCTGATGCAACTTGCGATTTGGAATACCGTTAAGGAAGAAATTTCAAAACTATTGCGGCATGATGACGAGTTGAATGAAAGCGGGAGAAGGATAGGGCTCAGAATCAATCGGACAAAGACGCAGTTCATGAGGAACAACTGGTGCAGCGAAAGCCAGTCACACTTGGATGGATCACCGGCAGAGGAGACCACATCCTACGTCTACCTAGGGCGCACCATCAACATGAACAACGATATGAAGGACGAACTTAGCAGAAGACAGAGAGCGGCATGGGCAGCATTCGGACCATTGAGAGGAGACAGTCCATCTTGCTGACCCGGACCTACTCAGATAATCGTCGGGGACAGGCGGCCATGCAATTTTTGGGCAAGCGGGCGCCGGTAAAATAGTTCGCTGGTTTCTTGCAGTCCGCTTGTGAAATATGGAAGAAAGTTGGCCAATTTTCTGACGGTTTTTGTGTAGATAAGTTGCGGCGCAGTGGCCGATGACCGCACAGCCTGTAGGTACCTTCCGCTGAGAGAAAGTACCTCAAACTCGGGTATTTGAACCGTCGATGACTCTGCCACACAGAGCCTCACTTTTGCTCGGCGCACGCCCAAAACTGCGTAAAAAGAGTCCGAGGCCTGCTGAAAGTTGGCCAGCGCTCGCTCAGAGAAATAACTTGACGAGCGCTTGCAGAATATTCTGTATTGCTGCCCGCTGACAGAACACGAAAGTACCGTTCGCTGAAGGTTTGGCCACGCCAAACTTTTGCTGACCGCCTGGAGAAGGACTGCCTGCTCCCAGGCGGTCCTTCTGCAGGCGGTCCTTCCCTCCTTATATGAGTACGTGCTCACCCTTTTGATGCTACAGTTCTTCCAGCTCTGTGTTACGCAGTCGAAACCTGGGCTGACACTTCAGCATTTACGAAGGCGCTAGAAACAGAACAGAGGGCACTCGGGAAAAAGCTTCCGAAGATAACGAAATTTGAACGGTTTAGACTCAGATTTCGGAGCTCTGATCTTGAGCAACTTTCGCGTTTACAAGATCCAGCGGAGCACGTATCTAGGAATAAACATAAATGGGCCTACATACAATGCGAAGAGAAGGCGACAGATGAACCAAAAGAACATTGGAATGGATTCCAAAAGCCTCAAAACGTCCACATGATGGATCACGAGATGGTGCGACGTGTTTGTTGACCGCGTTAACCAGCTGCGTCAGTAGTTGGAATCTAATTCAGGACCAACCAGCAATCGCAGGCACGTACCAAGACGTGCATGGATGACGATTGCTCGAAACCGCAACGAATGGTTAAAGGCAGTGTCCGGGCAAAAACTCGATTTTGAGATTTTGTGCTTATCTGGGCCTATTCGCCATGCTGAATCCGAAAATCCTCACCGGAAAGCGCTAAAACGGCAAAAAAGGGCCCTAAAGCTAGACGGAAATCAGCAAATGGGCGGGGATTTCCCCAATGTGGATTCACGCTCCAAGCTTCCGGAGCGATCTTCTCGATTCTAATTTCAAGTCATGCAATCGCACTTGGCCTGTGGAGATCTTAGCGTGCTAGCGGAATTGAGAAGATCGCCCCAGAAGCTGAGACCGCGAAATTCACAGTGTGGAAGACTCTGCCCACTTCTGATTTTCCTCCCACGTTAGAGCCCTTTTTCGCCGTTTTCGCGCTTTCCAATGTGGATTTTCGGATTCAGCATAGTGAATAGGCCCGGGTAAGCACAAAATCTCAAAATCGACTTTTTGCCTGGACACTGCCTTTAAGAGTTGGGACCCGCACGACGAGTGAGGACGGGCCATCTGAGTAATCTAAGTAAGTAAGTAATTGCAACATTACATTCCGGTTTTCATTGCTTCTTTTTATTTTGCTTTGCTATTCCGTTTATCTCTCTTTTCTACTACTTTGTGGGCAATCTCCGCTTTTTCTACCGGACCGGTTCAAACAACCTTCATTTTGAGGCTTTATTTTTGAAAAGAGAAGTTAAGCTCGTATAGGACAACATGTAGACACCCAACAAGAAAGCAGATCCTTGAAATGGACTAAACACGACACAACCTGCACTTTCCAAGGAAAATTGGGAGGAGTCGGAAAATAGTATCTGGATTGTTTACCAGCTGTTATTTATGAGATTTAGACTGACAATGCCTCAAAGTTGAAACTTCTTTTTGTGGTTTCAATAAACCAAATGCTATCTGTTAGTCACTGCATATAATTGTTACAAATCGTAAAAGGCACTAGAGACATACAAAGTGCTGCTAAAGTAGTTTGCTTATTCCACTGGCTACTTTCTACGAAAATGTGAAAAGAAAATTGTGTAAAGTAAGTCTGAGCAAGATTTAAACAGTGGATTCGAATCCTTAAGGAGTATCCGGGGAATCTTGTCACAGGCTTGTTTATAAGACTTCGAAAACAAAGCTACTGAAGAGAGGAGAGAATTCTGCGTTTAGAAATGTTTAAGTTGCTGTCTAGCTGAAATCTACAAAATTCGCGAAAGGTACAAAAATAGTATGATTTGCATGACCAGACATATATGAAGTGTGGATAAGAAGTTAGTGCTCACCTTCCGAAGAAAAAAACTTTTGATAGCTGGTGAACTCTTTGATAGCGCGAGATTCTGAAGGCGCGTAGTTCGTAATTTCATTGCGTTGGCTTAATTGGATTACGTGTAAAACTTACTGCAATTGCAATTGGACTCATGCTACTTACGGAGTCAACAATATTATGATTGTAGACAAAGCGGAAACGACTAAACATGTAATGATGGCAGTCATTGGCCATTGAGCAATGATAAATCCCCAACTTCTGAATCTCTTGATAAGCCACAAAACAAATTTTGGCCCTAAACAAATTGATAAATGTAAAGGAAAGGTCATTTACCTATTCATACCCTTTTCCTCTCCATACTCAGTCACTGACCGCTGCCCAATGAGCATTGAAAGCTTCCGCTGGGGAGTGGTACTCTCCATTTGAGCAATAAGGTAATGCTACGCTACGTGGCTACTTCTAAAATGAATATTCGTTTCACAATGGAACGATATTCAAACTGAACGCCACCGATGCTGGAAAAATCTAGATGACAGGAATGAGAAAAAACAAATGAACGTTGCAGCATTTGGGTTTCGTGGATGGCAGTGGTCATGCAATAAACGTTACAGCAATAGTTTTTGACTCTTCGGAGAACAAGATTGTAACCTGTTTATTGATTGCAATGTAGGTATCTGCAAAAGGATGCCTATACCGGAAGATGCAGAATATCATCCAGAGCAGAATTCATCGTATTTACTGCTGATTTGGCCACAAAAATGGACCGGAGAGAACTGGCAGATGAGCGTGCCGAGTAAAATGGAATTAATTGAACAGCGGTCTAAAGGAAACAGGTTCACATTGTCATTGCATGCTATGTCCTTTACAATAACAATACATTTCTGTCACGATTCGTGAAAGAAGACTGCTATTCGCCACAATCCAAAGAAAAAACACAATTCTCGTCAAATTTGCGTCCTCGAGCCATAGACCCCTCCTATGTTGTAGGAAATTCCGGATAAAAAAATAACGTATTCACTCAACTTGTTGCGCATTTTTCTTCCGGATACAGATCATAATTTAATTGTCACTTTCCATGGATCTTTCCAGTTGGAAGGTGTTATGTGCTGACTATAACAATCAACTTCTGTATCTAACAAAGTCCATCACCTATCAAACACCGCAAAGAAGAAACATCATCTTATTGGAGCAAACCCTACTGCGCTACTGTAATTTACTAGAATGGGTACTCGATAGGACCATTTTAAGGTACATACATAGAAATTTATGCAGCGAGTACGTTTCTAAACGAGAGGCAAGTGTAAGACGTATTGGTTTGAAGATCTGGTTCGACAAAACTTCTCCCAAAGCTTTATAATCAAAATTCTCAAAGTTCACCGAAGACCTCTTTTCTGAATGAAAAAAGAGGTACTTTGTGAAAAGCAAGTTGTTGCTACCCGCAGCTCCAAGGTAGTATCGTACAAAAGAAGCAGAAGTTTTGACTATCGTGCACTGTGAGCCATATTCAAAAGGACACATCTTGAGCTATATCTGAAAGGGAATGCAATCCTAGTTACAGTCTGCCCCAATCCCGACCAGGCCAAAATTGGCATGGCGGGTCCGCGTCGCTAAGGTTTCGCGGTCACGCCTACGACCCGCTTCTCTGCTCTCCCTTCAGTCCTTTTGCTATCTCCGACAGCTCGAATATGCAGCGCAGACCGCCAGCGCTGCGAGCGCGCAATACGCCGACGGTTCGGCCTAATCCCGATCGGAGCAGATTTTAAAATAATAGGCAAGCTGCGTTTGCAAACGTTCATTAATCAGGTTATACTGACAAGGGAAGGAATGTTGGTCGAAGTGGCTTTTTGGGATGAGCTTGGAACGCGCATTCCACATCTACCTTTGCTATATGCAGCGGACTTCTGGGCGAGGAGTTATGAAGGTTTTTTGAGTAAAATTTGAATGGAAGATTAGCATAAAATCAGTCATAACCTTTTCCTAACTCTCAAATGAGGCCGCAGCGAGTTGGTATATTTGTATCAAGATACTTGTTGCACCGAGTGACCCGATTACCAGTTAAGAACTAGAAAAAAATGTTACGACTGATTTTACACTAATCTTGCATTTAATTTTTAACTCACAAAAACCTTCATAACTCATCGCCCAAAAGCCCGCAGCAGGTGGTGAAGCGCAGATTTGAAATCAGTGTTCCAAACTTTACAAGCGTTTACTTATTTCAATAGGCCACTTCGACCAACCTTCCTTCCCTTTTGAGTTTACAAAGGGTGTAGGACTGAAAGAAATGCTGCTCGGTGACTGTGCGAAGTTTTTGTTGAAAACAAAATCAAACTGAAGACGTATCTGCGAATTCTGCTCACCATCCAACTTCCGTAACTTCAATCTGAGATTACAGCAGAAGCGTAATCTCAGATATGTTAGCGGTGATATTACGCGCATTTCCTTTGATTGAAAGTCGTGTGCGCCTGCGAACGAAGAGCACCAGGGAAGCCAAGCTGATTGGGGACACAAACTTTCTAAAATTGTCTGGTCAGTCATTGCACAGTCTCAGCTATTTTTCAGTTGTATCTTCAAGCTTTTATTACCGCAGTAGAAGAGTTTGTTGGAAACACACTTTGATTTCTTTGACTTCCTCTATGTTTTTCCAACAAACGCAATGCGAAACTAACAAGTGCATTTTTTATGCTCTTTTCTAAAGCACAGTTTTGAGAATGTGTGATGGAATTTCTTTCTGATTTGCATTTCGCAAACGGCGGAACCAATTCGGTGATTATTCCACGCTCAAGAATTGAAGCGTCCTCCTGCGAAGGTCAAACATACTTTAACAAAAGCGATCGCCTTATCAAATACTAATTGTGTTCACTATCAATTTATTATAGAATTTCGCTATGACTAGATGGGGCACATATATTTTGCATATTCTACACCCGACAAGTGTTGTCACTGCCAATAACTACTATTTTTCCTCTTATCCATGCAGTTTTGCGATGTTATAGCTATGGTTCTTTAAGCAGTTCAACAGTGATGCCGAATTTTCTTTAGGTTTTGGAAAAATTTGTCCTATTACTTGAAATGAGCGATGATAGCCGTCATGTAATGTGGACCGTTGGCTACATTGTACTCATTTGAAATTGCCTAGACCAGATTTGTGAAGTCTGTTGTTTATTTGGGGAAGAAAACTCAGCTTTTTGACCACATATAGCGTATAGGCGTAAATTCCTTCTTCGAAGCATCAAACACGATTATTTCGCACAAATGATGGTCAAGCTGCAGTTGGCAGAAACATTGAAAGCTTTCACGTTTTTTGCGTCTGTTTTGCACATGACCTAACCAAAAATGATGATTTTCGCAAAGATGAATTTGTAAAGCTTTCTTCAACAGCAGATCGGACGGATCTGAAAGCAATATCGTATAATAAAAGAAGAAAAGAAGGTTACCTAATTTCCGTTTCGTTCCTATCACTAACAAAGCTAATTAGGCTGCTTGGTGAGAAAAAAATTGTAAAATCTAGAGTAGTAACAAAGTTTCCTCGCTTGATTTCATTACACAACTTTTTGCAAGGCGTCAAGTCAACTGCTAAGTAGGCTGGTGGCAAGGGCTGACCCTATGTGTGCATGACGTGGTACAGTAGCGACGCAAGCCTTCTCACAGGTAATGCCATCACATCTTACGTTACACCCTATCCCGGACGGGACCCCTGGCTCCTACTGCCAATGCAGGAGAGCCCCAACACCACTGACGTTGGGAGGGGCCCATAAACCGAAGTTAGCTCTATTCGCTAAACCCACTCTTCTTTGGAACTTTGAGTGCCTTCATAGCAGCCCGTAGCCGCCGCTACCAACCCGTAGCAGCCCGTAGCCGCCGCTGACCGCTTTTGTTCATAGAAGCACAAATTATTAGATTCTTACAACTTTGAGTGCAACCGTCTACGCTTTCCAACTTTCACGCTTTTTTCTTCCTATTGCCGCTATTGTGCAGTTCGACTCAGACTTCGAAGCAGAGCCATACTTAAAACTAAACAAATAGCACACCTATAGAAACTGGACGCATCCAAAGTCGAAAAAATCCCACCGCGAAAAACTTTGGCGAACTATGGTTCGACTGCAAGAGGGAAACTGCGCACCAGTAAACCAATCTATGGCAAAAAGTTGATAACAACAGTGGACACAAGTATTAGGTTGGCACATAAGTTTTGCAACTTTTCCCGTAACTTTTTTCCTATTATATGTAGCAATCTCATTTTGTGGCATCATGTAGATCGTGATGTAAGCTGCAAGTCTGCGCAAACCCCTTGATTTTTGATAGCATGATACAAAAAATCTAAGCATTTTCTGAAAACTGCTAAAAATCGAGGTTTCACAATTTTTTGGCAAACATGAAGCCCTACGAAACCTGATTCAAACATATGAAAAAGCAATTATAGGCAGCATGTAGATGGAAGTTGGCACATTGGAATCAGTGAAAAAGAAATGAAATTTCAACACAAATGAAGGTGGGGCGCCTTTGAGAAGTTGAACAAGTCAAATGCGTCAAGTTTTCAAGGCAATTTGTCAATAACTAAGCTGCGAAAAGTCAGAATTCGCTGTAACTTTGCACTATAGGGTAATCCTATGCGGTAAACACGAATATCATATTCATTTGTCGCTAAAATGAAATTTATCTTTTGATCTCACGAACGAGGCCTTTTCATGCGAAACGGATCTCATTTTTGTGATCAGCATGTCAAGCAAGCCCTATAGGCCAAGTTTCAGCAAAATCTGATGCATTCTGAAAATTTTCCCATAGTACCGTAAACCTATCGTAATCCTCACATA